ACGCCCAACGAAACTGTCGGAAACATGCAAACAATGTATAAACGACTGTGCGCACCCCCTCGCGTCTCCTCCGCCGAGGCTTCAGTGCACTCCGTAGGCGCCGCTTGCCAAATATCGCACTTCCCTATTCTAGCCACTGCAGCGCTAGTTCCCTTTCAACTCACCGCATCAGCTATAGTGCTGGCTATCGGCGACACAGGTGTTTCTCCTAAACCTCCCTTCAGCTACAGTGAGCCATCTGCGCCGTATAGTTTCACACGTTTCTGATCAGTGCTTTGTCATCACTTTAGCCGGATGAGTGGCTGATTATTAGTGGTAGATGACAATATTGGCAGTCACGCTGGCTCCATAAAAGATACGTTGTTTTGAGATATATTGTGCTGCCGTTCGTGGTGCTATCCGTCCATCTGGAATCTATCAAGTGACCGTCCCGCACTCTGTAGCTCGTTAGCTACGTACTGGTGCGTTTACTTGCTTTAGATTCATATCCTTAAGCTTCGACAGCAATGTATTTGCGTGGATTCGGCACCATTTTCGGAGAACATAGTAAAACAATCAATGTTGCAGGCTTCGTGGCACACTTTTAAATCTCAGAGAACCTACACTTTGTGTTTACGAGTTCTTGCTTATCTTCAATAACTGGCGCCACTTGACCATGCAGTTGGGCAGTGCATGTTATTCGCCGCTATGCTACGCCTTTGCGCTTTGTGTTACCGAACAAACTAAGAAGATGCTTTCGCTTTCAAACTCCTGTGGCAGAGCGCCAAAGGCAGGTGTTCTTTTTTCGCCGGTCGTTGACATGCCAGGCACGCCGACTGGCGATGGTTGCTAACCAGGCCACTCCCTGAATCATGACCACTCCCTGATCTAAGGTGGATCGACGACGCCCGTTGAGAAGCCTGCATTTCTACTGGAAAGAAATAAAAAAAAGCATTGGTGCTGGGGGACATTCCACAACAAGGAGGAGATAGGGCTGCAGGAAGGGAAGGCGAGAAAGAAACTGCTGTAGCACTGCACCGTGCTCCCTACCGGGCTGCAGAAATTAGGTGCCTTTTTTCTATTTTAGGGGCCCTTCAAGTTTCCTAGCAAGTACCTGAGCCCCCTTCCTATTTTTACGTGAATTGGGAGGGTGGCGTCGACTCGTTCTTACTATTATTAAGCAATCAGTTATTTACTTAACATGCCCTGCAACAATCATGAGGTCTTAGTGCTGGCACATGCAAAAATAAAACAATACAAATAAACAATACAATACATACACGCTTCAGAAAAATCAAATAGTGAAAATACAGAAAAAAGAAATCGGCGCAAAATGGAAAAAATAAAAAAAAAGAAGAGAATCATGGAAAGGAAGCGAAAAATAAATAAATAATTAAATAATAATGATAATATTAATAAATTTCCGTGGTGCAACCGGCGTGCAAACGAAGAGACTTTGGACTTTTGGATGCCTTGAACTGGTGCGCCTCTCCAAGTCGGCGAACGCAGTAAAACGGGCTGGGCGTGCGAAGCCCCTTCTTCCAAGGACTTCCCCCGAACTAGGTTTCGTACCCGCCGAAACTGCTCGAGCGTTTGCCTCCCTCCCCCTATCTCTACAATCTCTACCATAGAAACGTACGCTCGTGTCAAGGCACGGACAACTTTCTGCATCGGAGGCGTGCGAGTGCCTTTCGCGCCAATTGTTCTCTTCGTTTTCTGTGTTCGCCGCGCTACTACGCACGCTTGGTTGATTTTGGAAGTTTAGGTTTTGCCATCCGTCCGTTGCTACGTTTTTACTGTTTTTTTGTGATGGCCTACGGTAATTATATGTATATGTGGGGGGGGGGGGGGGGGGGGCAAAATTCAATCTCGCTATTGTGAAGTTTTCTAAAGAAAACTGGAACCGCTCCGCCGCCAAGCACTTCAGCATGAACAATGTGTGAAGATTGGCACGTTTGGTACAGGAGAGAGCAGAGTGCATGCTTGCTAAAACAAGTTTTATGCCGTTGAAGATGGGTGGATGGATGAATGGATGAAAAACTTTATTGTGGTCCTGAAGGATTCCACCCCCGTTTTAAAGGGGTAGGATCGCGGGCCGCTCCCACGTAGAGACGGGCAGGTCTAGCCTCACTGCCGTATTGTGGGCCTTCTGGACAGCCTTGAGTTGTTGGATGAGAACCGGGCTCGTGAGCATTAAATGAAAGGAATTTTCGGAAAATTCTTCATTTTTTTCTTGTAAAGAGGGGCACCTTCTAGGCATGTGGCTAAAATCACTGCGATTGTGGCAGCCTGGACAAAGTTCTGAAATATCGGAGTAATGGCTATAGGTTACAAGGCTAGGGTATGTTCCCGTCTGAAGCATGCGAAAGGATATTGTCTGTGGCCTAGACAACTTTTTGTGTGGCAATGGGAAGGACCTACGGCCTAATTTGACCCTAAGTATTTTCGGATACTACTGCAAAGTGAGTGGAACGCCGTACTGGGCGGCATCAACAAAGCATGAAACAGACGAGTGGGTGTTTGCCATCCGTCCATCACGTTTTTACTGTTGTTTTGCGATGGCCTACGGTAATTATATTTATATGTGTGGGGGGGGGAGGGGCATAATTCAACCTCGCTGTTGGGAAGTTTGCCAAAGAAAACTGGAACCGTGCCGGCGCCAAGCACTTCAGCATGAACTTTAATGTGTGATGATCGGCGCGATCGGTACAGGAGAGAGCAGAGTGCACGCTTCCTAATACAAGTTTTATGCCGTTGAAGAGTGCCTCTTCAATTATATGCGAATGCTTAGGTCCTTCGGTATTGCCATGTCACGGGACCTAGTTTCTCCCAGCATTGTCGAGATCGAGAAAATGGGGCATTCGAACGCGCTCAACAGAACTGAGGACGATGCACTTTGGGAGGGTGGTGACAGTGCTCGTGACGATGATTCTCAATAGAAAATTTCAATCAGTGATTCCGACTAGACCGCGCGTGACCGGATCTGGCTGGTTAAAGTACGTGCTAACGCTGTTTAATTAACAAGTACACTTTGTCTATGCTTCATTTTATTATATTTAGTGTATATACTGGGGACGTTAGGACTATTGCACATTATGTCGTATGCGTTCGAGAAATCCCCGCGTAATTTGCGCACCCCTTTTTCGGAGCCCCAAAATCGTGAAAAAAAGTGCGCAAATAATGGGAGTAAATACGTTATTGTCCCATCGCTGACATCAGTGGTCTGTTATGCAAGTGTGTGGCGTAATAGGCGGCACATAAAATAAAGGTCCTTGAAGCTCTAAAGGTCTACCGCTCGTAAACATTTTTCTGGTTGTGGCGAAAATGAGAAGATAAGTCATCACACTAGCAGCAGTGAGCATGCTTTTATCCCATAAAAAAGGAATTATAATTTTAATATGTTGAAAGTTGACAAAGGATGACCCCTAGAATTGCCAATCAGTGATGGAGTTCAGTCTACTATCAAGACAAGAAATCTTTACAGGTTGACTCATTTCGCCTCAAAGTAAGCATGTATAACTTGAAATTGTAGTTTGCACACTTCAAGTAGCTTTAGGTTAATCCAGAGAGTAATTGTTACTTTTTTCTTACACATTCAAAGAAACACTTGGTGGCGCTGCCGGCTTTAGCCTGCCTGCCTACGGCAGAGAAATGTGAGCGCTGCGTTTGGTGCCATTCAAGAAAACAGAAAAAAAAAGTGCTTTCGATCAATAGCAGCGCGACTGACTTCAAAATTTTCGGACCACACCAGTGAGTCCAATGTAATTGAATAATGTTGGGTGGGTCCTCGTGCGTAAAGTGCACACCAGTATTCATTGAGGTTCAACATAGAAGAAGGTTTTGCCATCACGTTTCGCTTTACCAAGGGCTCCGTACTGGCTCTCGTATCATTTATGCAGCGTGGAAAACCTGAACATAACTGAAACACAGCAAGGGCCTTCTGTTCTTTTGTGAAGCACATCTTATGTTTGTTTTAGTTGCAAATTTGGCATGAGTGGAACCATTGCAGTTCGTTTCCCAACGCTGACATACCAAAGTTGCTGGAACAGATCAACTTTCCTGCTCGACTCTGGTGCTTTTTCATGCTGTCTAAACAAAGCTGGAGAAACCGTGGTAATAATGCTTTATTGGACAATTTGCATGCTTTAGACAATCATTATGATATTGTTTTATTATTAAACAGAACTTTATGAAGCCTGCAAACACTGCATGCGGTTTCAGTTTTCAACTTCATCCAGCACTGCAATCGTCATCACCTCCACCAACCAAAGTTGTGGGCTTTCGCCACACCAACGATATTCAGTTCTGTTTTAAAATTTTCTGTTCACTTTCCAGACAAATCATGGCAAGGTTGCACACTTTAGACGCTGCACTTTTTATTGCAGTGCAAAACAGAAAAGTGATAAAGGACGGTAGATTTGTGGGCTTTTTATGTGCCAGAACTGTGATATGATTATGACGCATGTCAGCGAAGAGGGGCGGACTTTTGGGTTAAATTCAATCACTTCAGACTTTTTGACCTGCTGCTAAATCAAAGCACATGGGTGTTCTTTACATTTCACTCTTGTTGAAATGCAACCATTGCGGCCATAAATCAGATCTGTGCCCTTGGGCTTAGCAGTGTGACACCTTGCATGCTAAGCTACCACAGTCATTTATGTGAGATTGTTGGCTTCCTTCTACATACAGCAGCATATTTCTATTGCATTTTAATGGGTGCATTGTCTACGGATTATGAACATTTTCTTACCATGTTCTTATGTTGAATAACTGCAGCCATTCCGTTTGTTTGTCTATTTAGATGAGGTAATTACTAGAATTTCATTTTCGGTTTAAGAGCTATTTTTCTGTCTTACGAATCACTTTATGTCTTTCAAAATTCTTCATTGGTTGCCATTTGTTATTTCATAGAATGGATATTTCAAATAGGAATGTGTCATGTCTTGGCAGAATTATGCAGAGCACTTCATGTCAGTGGGGTTGTAAACAAACATTGAATATTTTTGCCAAATTTGTTCTAGGGGAAGACTCAGACGTGCCCGTTCTGCAGCAAGGCCTTCTGTAAAAACTTTGACCTGCAGCAGCATATTCGCTCACACACAGGGGAAAAACCGTTTCAATGTGTCATCTGTGGTCGTGGCTTTGCCCAAAAGTCTAATGTGAAAAAGCACATGCAAACGCACAAGGTAAAGAAAACGTTTTGCTCTTGTTGTAAACGAAACATCTGTTTTTACATGTTCTTTTGCTATGTACACAAAAAGTAGAGATGCTGTATGCTGCTATACTCTTCACAATTACCTTGCAGCGCTGCCAAAGCTACAAGGAGTACACAGGCAGTATGCCTGTGTAGCACATAATATAGTTCCGGGTGTAATTGTGTCTTTATAAACAAGATACAAGGGTTCTTGCTGCGCTTCCTGCATGATTTGTTACAGCTATGCTCGGTACATTAGGCCCTTCGTGCATGCACTTCGCATTTTCTGAATTGTTGTTGCAATTACCCACTCGTAACATAATAATCACCCTGACTGCGATGATGCACAACAACATGGAAGCCCCCATACTGCCCAGACCGCCCGCTTCCATCCCAATTCATGCTTTTTACTGGCTCTTTGCCTAGATAGCAAGAAATAGGTTGCACAAACTGTCATTGCTTTGTCCAATCTAACGCTGAGGGCAAAGCATCAGGTGTTATCGCTATTATTTAGATTGCTTGTTTGTTTTGATGTTGCTTGAACAACTGAGGCAATGCGAAGCCGTAAAAGTGGTTTTATGCCTGCTGAGCAGATGGCACCGCAACTTAGTGATGCATTGAGGATGTGAAACAACCTGCGTTTATGCATTGTTGTCTGTGCCAATAATTAGCTGTTCCACTCAAGTGCCATGTGTAGGAATTAAGAGCGCTATGGCATGTCCGCTGAAAGAGCGTAGACTGAATCTTCAGAGCACTGTAGATAAAAGATCCAGTATTTTCCGTAAAAAGCAAGGTTAGTAGTGCTAAATGCATATGGGGCTGTCTAAAAAGAACTCTGTGAAAGCACCAGAACTAGCCCAATCCCACACTTTACCCTAGAATGAACGCTGTTATGAAATGGACTGCATTTCTCATCAACGCCAGCAAATGCGTCTTGTGCAAATGGGTTTCTGAACATCCAAAATAAAGGCGAGGTGGTGTTTCCGAAGAGGTTTTTGCGCGTTATTCTAACTGCTTGGAGCAAGTATCGATAAAGTAGATGAGCCAACGTCAAAGATGACGAGCAGACAACACAACACAAATGGACGCATTTTAGGCAGCTTCCGCCTTTCATATTGGGTAACAAGCCCTGAAGCTTCCAGAGGGTCAAGGTACTTCTCAGATGGAGCAAATGCTTAAACTTTTAGGTGAATATATGAGGCACTTCAAGAAATGTGTTGAAAAATGCTTGAAAATTAGGGAAATGCCATATTTGTTTGCTGAGTTCACTTTTTCTTTGTTGCATATATCCTAACATCACCAGAGACACTAAATACAGCTAGTTTAAAATAATATATAACATCACTAGAAACACCAATTATAGCTAGTATTTGAAAATAACATAATAATTGACTTTTAATTGGTTGAGACATGCAGTTAGAAATAAATTGGAGTTTGGGCATCATTTTTTTGGCATTTCTTATCGCCAGATCGCGATGAAATTTTTGTCACATATTTTTTAACATCAGAAGAGCGCAGTTATTTCCGTTAAAAGCTCATATCACCTATACAATTATTATAAACTTGAAGTGAGCAATTAGTATAGGCTCAGAATTTTAAGACTTCTCACATTACATTTTTTCTTGTTCATTTATTATATGAACTTTCTTTATAGTTATTTGCATTCTGCACTTAATGTTGAGCAATATGAGTTATTAATGGCTCATTATCATAAAAGTCTGCTTGCAGTTAAAGTTTGTCCACAGAAGAGCTGTATATTACACATTGTCATGGTACAAAACAAAACTGTGCAACTTCATATAAAGTTGATTACATATTTGATATTGTCATAAAAACCTATATAAATGATATTTAATTGCCCTTGGCCACAGATCAAAATAATTTCTTTTTTTTTTTTAAGGAAGCATCTCCTCTTAACACGAGAGGGTCGAAATTTCCAGAGTTCTCCACTGCAGCATCTCTCATAATCATTTCATGGTCCTTGGATATAAAATACTAGATATTATTGACCTATTGTGCTTAAATAACAATTTATCAGTTTGCTTTGTGGGTGTGCCTGCTGTGTTTGCGATCGAACATGCATGTCGCATATAATAAATGCAAGAAAACTGACACCAGTGAAATTGTTTTCATGAACAGTAATCTCATTCTGGTAGTTTGTTAGTTGCGCTAATCGATGCTCTGGTTTCAGTTTTGCTGGTGAATTTGGTCGAGTTTCTTTTATATAGCACTAAATGAAAAGCTAAGTGGATTTCTTTAATTACTAACATAATTGCTGTCTGTAGTCATCCTAAGATATCTGGTGCTATAGAAAGAGTAATTTGAAAGGCAGCAAAAAATGACTTTTTGAGGGTCTTATTTGCTAAAGGTCTTTCTCTCGCTCTCTCTACCCATTGTTTCAGACAATTTTTGTGGATACATTTCTTGAAACACCTTGAATGTTTTGCCGCTACCAGCATGCAAACTGTGGGAACATTCATTAGCAAAACTTTCTGATGTCAAAGTCATTGTCTGTTTGATTATAAAATTTGGTTTTGAACATTGTGTTACAGCAAATTACAACTCCTTTTGTTGAATTTATGTTGTTAGTCAACCTATTTTTGTTTCTTTGTAACAGGTTTGGCCCAATGGCTTGTCGTGTACACTGCCACCACAGCTTGTTTCAGATGGCTCACAGTCATCTGTGGAAGACCCTAACGGCAAGGATGACAATGCAGGAATCAAGAAGGTCGAAAACCTGGGCACTTTACCACTTTCTCTGTTCCCTTTTTAGTGCAGTTTCTGCTATACATGATGCATTTTTGTTCTTCTTCATGCTCGTTTTTTAAAATGTGAGCTCTTTTCAGGCGGTTACTGCAGATGACGTAGCCCTGGTGAACAGCTATAGCTGCCCATTCTGTCCTTTTGTGGGGAAGACTTACTTTGAGCTCAAGAGTCACCTGACATTCCATAAGCAGGAAAAGGTATCTATCGTTGCATCCAGAATATGCAGTGATTTAGTGCTTCGAGGTGTTATATGTACTAATGGCATTATGCTGGGTATGGGTTGTGTAAGTCGGCAAAGAAGGTGGAGCTTACTCAGACTTGTCAAAATTTTTGTCAGCCGGACTCGCTCGGACTCAAACTCGCCAATATATGGCTCACTCGTACCCACTAAAGCTCATACTCACGGCTTGATTCGAGTGTGTATGAATCTGAGTGAGTTGACCCATGAGTGCATTAGCATATAGTAGCTTGTTATTTTCATTGTGGTGCGACACCACGGACCCGAGCTAACGGGGGAGTTTCTACTCCCTCCCACGCCTAGCCGTGCGTGGCTTTGCCGTGTCCGGGGAAAAAGGGATCCTGGGGGTTGAGCCGACGCTGGGTGATTGGACCATTAAAGCCCCCCGGCAGAGGCAACACACCCCTTTGGCCCCGGCTTCACGTAGATGGCACCCCTGGGCTGACCCACCCAGGGGAAATCGGCAGTCGCCTTTTCCTATCTCTCTCTCCCTACATCTTCGTCTTTCGTTCTCACTTTACATCTTTCCTGTCTTCTCCTCACTTCATTTTACTTCCAATTTTTCCTGGCGGCAAGGGTTAACCTGGTGTAAATATCCAAACTTGGATAGATATATCAGGTTATGGCAATGGCGTACTACTGGCGTTGTGCAGACATGTTTACATGTTCTGCCACGTCCCCTTGTTGGGCTCCGTGGTGGGTGGTAGGCGCCATTACTGAAGGAACTGCACTTTTCTATGGGATCACAAAACCCCTTATCTATTGATCGCCCCTTCAAAAGGTGGCGCACCGAAGCAAATGTAATGCCGATTTCGGAAAAACAAGACCATTTCCCTAAGTACCACGTTATTCATTGCAAAAACTCGGACAAAAAAGCTCGCAACATCTCCCCATTCCTCGTGTCCAGGTGCCTAACCGAGACTATCGGAACTGGCTATAAGGCTACAAAGATGGCAAGCGGAGACTTGCTGGTAGAAGTTAAAGACAAGACACAGTGTCAGAAACTAGAAAAATTAGTAGCATTTGGGGACAAGCCCGTAACCGTCTCTGCGCACCGAACGATGAACACTGTCAAAGGCGTTGTGTCAGACGATGACCTAAAAGACCTAACAAATGATGAGCTTCTGGCTGGCTGGAAGGACGAAAATGTCATTCACGTACAGCGTATCGTAGTGAGAAGAGAAAACAAAGAAACTCCAACCAAGCACATAATTGTGACCTTCGGGTGCTCCACACTATCGCAAGAATTAGTTACCGGCTACCTAAAACTGTCTGTGAGACCCTACATTCCTAATCCGCGGCGCTGCTTCAAGTGCCAAAGATTCACACATGCTTCTCAGAGTTGCCGTGGGCAGCTCACCTGTGCACGGTGTGGTATCACAGGCCACTCTGCAGATGATGACTGCAAGGCCGAACCCCACTGTGCGAACTGTGATGAAGAACACGCGGCGTATTCTAGATCCTGCACAGCATGGAAAAAAAGAAAAAGAAATTATTACCATCAAAGTCACCCACAACATCAGTTTCCGCGAAGCAAGGCATCGGGTCTCCCCTTTCTATGCAACAAAATCATTTGCTGAAGTGGTGCTGCCCCCTCACCACCACAGCATCAGGTGGCCGCCCAAGCTACGCACAGCGTGCTGGAGCGACCGCCGCTTGCCCCTACTGCGGGAGCAGCCAAGGCTGCTCTGGCCTCAGTCAACTAGGCCCCACCACGGGCGTCGACATGCATTGGCGGCACGAGCCAGGGTAACGGGCCGACTGCGGGAACCCTGTCGACGTCCGGTGTAGAGGGTTTGAAGGCTTCGTATCTTGAGCCGAAGCCCACAACGCCCAGGGACCGCTCGGCAGAGCGACGGTCCAACGCTTCTCATGAAGCTATGGACACAACCGCCAGTCAAACGGCACCTGCTGCGCCGAAGGAGTGGCGAGTTTCTCTCGACCGCTCCAAAAAAGACAAAAGACAAATTACAGGGCCTCCAAAAAGCCCTGTAAAATAAGTTTCGTTTTCCATAACCTGAAAGGTTATGGTACTATTCTGTTTTGTCCATGAGCTTACTTTCCATCCTTGAGCACACAACACAAAACACATCTAAAATCATACAAATACTACAGTGGAATGCCAGAGGCCTATTTAATAACCTAGATAATATCAAAGACTTGCTTAATGACTATCAGCCAAAAGTGTTCTGTGTTCAAGAAACTCATTTAATGTCGACTCATGTGAATTTCTTAATTCAATATGTGGTTTTTCGTAAAGATCGAAATGGTGTCAATTTCTCTTCTGGAGGTGTGGCCATCATTGCACAAAGGAGCGTAGCATGCCAGCACATTGTGCTACAAAGCTCTCTTGAGGTTGCGGCTGTTCGCGCTATTCTATTCAACCGTCTTATATCTATCTGCTCGATCTACATAGCCCCTGACGAACCATTCAATAAAACAGAGTTCGAAAAGCTTATTGATCAGCTTCCAGAACCATATGTGTTAATTGGAGATTTTAATGCTCACAGTTTGCTATGGGGTCATACCAAATGTGATGCGAGAGGTCGTGCAATAGAAAACTGTCTTCTCGCATCTGGAGCCTGTCTGCTCAATAAGGCAGAGCCAACATACTTCAGTACCACACACAATACATATTCATGCATAGATTTAGCCATTGGGTCACCGTCACTCCTACCTTACTTAGATTGGAAAGTTATTAATAATCCATATGGAAATGACCATTTTCCAACTCTTTTAGTAACAAAACAGTGGGTTGACCGGCCGTCTTATCCTAAAAAGTGGAACTTTCATGTTGCAAACTGGGTGAAATTCAGAGAGCTATGTACACTACACCTCGAAGAGGTAGACCATCTGGAAGTAGAAGAGATGGCCAACTATATTTCTGAATATGTTCTTACTTGTGCAAAAAAGTGCATACCGCAGTCCAGGAATGATAAGGTTAACACAAAGCCATGGTGGAATCGGAAGTGTGAAATTGCTAAAAAACGGCAAAACAAAGCATGGAGGACTTTTTCTCACAACCCAACAGCAGAAAACTTGATAACCTTTAAAAGTTGCAAAGCGAATGGCAGGCGTGTTCGCCGTATAGCCAAACGGGAAAGCTGGACACGCTATACATCCTCAATAAACTCCTACACAGACGTCAGCAAGGTTTATAATAGGGTGCATAAACTTAAAGGACAAGGCCCAAATTCCTTCCCTTTGGTGAATGACTGCGGTGATACAATAGAAGAACAGGCAAACGCTCTTGGCGAACACTTCGAGAAAATGTCAAGCTCAGAAAACTATACCACTAAGTTCTTACACCACAAAAGCATAGCTGAAAGTGTACCTCTGTGCCGGAACAAGCCTGGATCAGATGGATACAATAAACCACTAACAGTATATGAACTGAAGCTCGCCCTTGGTTCCTGTGGAAGTTCTGCTCCTGGTTCTGATACAATTACTTATGAAATGATCAGAAATCTCCCTGATGAAACCCTGAACTGCCTTTTAGCACTTTACAACAAGATTTTCAATACCGGCAAAATACCCTCTGCTTGGAAAGAGGCAATAGTACTACCAATCCTTAAACAGGGCAAAGATCCCTCTTCGGTAAATAGTTACAGGCCTATCGCCCTCACAAGCTGCCTACTCAGAGTGTTTGAAAAAATGATTAACTGCCGCTTGGTCTATTACTTGGAATACAACGGCATATTGGACCCGTGCCAGTCTGGTTTCCGTACAGCTAGATCCACAACCGACAATCTTGTCCTCCTCGAGTCGTATATATGTGACGCGTTTGTACACAATCAATACTGTCTGTCTGTTTTCTTTGATCTTGAGAAGGCATATGATACTGCCTGGCGATACGGAATCCTGCAAAATCTACTGTCTTTCGGAATATGTGGCAGGTTGATTACCATCTTAAAAGATTACCTGTCTGAAAGGAAGTTCCGTGTAAGAATAGGTACTGTGTTATCGCGCACATTTCTTCAAGAAAATGGAGTGCCGCAGGGAGGAGTATCAAGCTGCACACTATTTATAGTTAAAATGAACTCTCTTCGCTCTGTTATTCCACCCGCGATATCGTACTCTGTATACGTGGACGACATTCAAATTAGTTTCAAATCGTGTAACTTGACTGTATGCGAACGCCAGATACAGTTAGGTGTTAACCGACTTGCAAAATGGGCTGACGAGAATGGTTTTAAGTTTAACACTGACAAGACTACTAGTGTGCTGTTCTCGAGACGACGAGGTGTGCATCCTGACCCCTGCATACTAATGAATGGACAAAACATAGTCATCGCGAAGGAACAAAAATTCCTCGGTGTAATTTTTTATTCCAAACTCACCTTCATCCAGCACATAAAACAGCTGAAGTTAAAATGTCTCAAGACCATGAACCTTTTAAAGATTTTATCGCATCAGTCGTGGGGGACAAACAGACACTGTCTCATATCTCTGTTTCGAAGCCTGGTTCTGTCACGCATAGACTATGGATGCATAGTATATCAGTCAGCTTCAAGGACAGCACTGAAAATGTTGGACCCTATATACCACCTAGGTATCCGGCTGGCACTTGGTGCCTTCTGTACCAGCCCTATTCACAGCCTTTATGCAGAGTCAGATCAGTGGCCACTAGACTATCAGCGCACGTATCTAGGAGTCAACTATGCAGTTAAAATCATGTCTCTGAAGCAGCACCCATGCAAAACACTTATGAACGATGTGTCTGCTACCCAGTTATACCTAAACCGTCCTTCTATCGCCCCACCGCTTCCTTTGGCAATAAGACCTGCAGTAGAAAAACTTGCAATTTTTTTCAATGACTTGGAGGAAAGTGACCATGTCGAACACATCCCTCCCTGGCAGCAATGTCCAGTCACTTGTGACTGGTCTTTCAATGACATCATAAAGGAAAATTGTCCAAGTGCACTCATTGAGCAACATTTCTTGGCCCTTGAACACAAATATCGTTCAACCGCGTTCTTCTCTGATGGCTCAAAGTCTCAAACATCTGTATCTTGTGCAGCCTATGGACAAAAGTTCTCGGACACCAGAACCATGCATACACATACCAGCATTTTCACAGCGGAAGCCTATGGTATCCTGCTTATTATCCAACACATTAAACAACACAAGATACAAAAGTCTATAGTGTACACAGATTCTTTAAGTGTTGTCAGGGCCCTGTCTTGTGGCAAGTACAGCAAGAACCCCTACTTTCAACAAGCTCCTTAACGAAATCTATGCAGCCTACAACCTAAAACTTTCTATTGTTATTTGCTGGGTTCCAGGTCATTCTGGAATTGCGGGCAATGAAATAGTGGACAAGAATGCACGAGAAGCCGCTGGTCGGCAAACCATAGATATAACCTCTGTTCCGGGTGTAGATCTAAAACCTGTTGTACGTAGAGGTCTACGCAACCACTGGCAAGCTGAATGGGACAGAGAAGTCGACAACAAACTCCACCTTGTAAAACCCCAGCTGAGAAAAGTTATCCCACAAAAACTCAACAGGTTCGCCGAAGTCACTTTAACACGGCTCAGAATAGGCCACACTTATGCTACACATAAACACCTTTTGACAGGTACTGATCCACCTACATGTATACACTGTGGAGAGAGTCTAACCGTTGTGCATGTCCTCATACAATGTCCTGTGCTTCACCAAGCACGACTGACCCATTTCAGGGAGCTCTATCGATATCATATCCCACTTCATCCAGCACTGTTTTTATCACTTGATGCAGTGGTTGACCTTAAGAGACTTCTTCATTATCTTGGGAAAGTCAAATTTTTAACAATGATATCATTCCATCCTAGCCACCAGGCTGCGCCTCAAGTGTGAGGTACCGCCTGGTGCATAAAAAAAGTATGTCTGAGCCTTCGCAGTTCTTGCTCAGGCAAGGACTTCAGCTGCGAGGGTCTTGGGCCTTGCAGACTAATTTATCATCACAGACTTCAGCCAACGAAATGAAGGTTTTAGCAAAGTGACATTCCTTTTAAATGCACCGTGTTTTAAATGGTTCATAGATATTTGCTACTCATCATTTGTCTTAATTTTTAAACTAATAACCGAAATGAAACAACACTTGTACTGGCACTCTTTGGCCTTAGATGCCCTTGCGCCAATAAAACTTAATTATAATAATAATTTTTATTCTGGTGTCAATGCTCTTTGAAGCCAATATCTCACATAATCAATGCTCTACATTAGCTTTTTGATGTCCTACCTTCAAAAAGACAAGTTATTAGTGGACTCAATCCACTGTTCGCCGCCATGCTGTAGCAGTTACAGTGCTCAGCTGCTTACCCAAAGGTTGCAGGTTTAATCCAGGCTGCGGCGGTCGCATTTCAGTAGAGTTAAAATGCTAGGGCCCCATGGCCAACACCAAATAAATGAAATTTTTGAAGCCCTCCACTAAGCGTGCCTCATAATCATATTGTGGTTTTGGCATGTAAAACCCCAGGTATTATTATGGTTGCAATCCAGTAAGTGGATTTTTATTGAAAGTCTTGATTCACATGAGCTTGGAAGAGATTGTGGAGGTAAGACAAGACACGACCTCTTTCTTTCTTTAACTCGTGCATCTGTAAAAAAAATATTGAGCTGGCACATAATGCTGGTGCCTTGAAACATGTGACTAGACATGGCTATACATGTGAGCAGACATAAGGCTGGTGGTAATGCTCAAGACGAGTAGGTAGGAATATAAGTTGGCAAAAGAAATGGGGCTCACTTGCAGTTGAACTCGCCAAATCTTTTTTATAGGCTCACTCGGACTCGGGCTGACTAAAATGTTTTCACTCCCACACTCACTTGGACTCACTCTCCAAAATACTGCTCACCAGACTCACTCAGACTCATGGCTCAATCTGAGGTTGTCAGTCGACTCATGACTGAGTTTGCCAACCTATGTTAGTCTAAGACTATTGCTGATCATCATGATAGCCACCATCATTATTGTATTTCAAATAGGCCAACACCAGTGAATTTTTCAAGTCAGTGATTGTCAGTGAAACTCACTGGTTACATACTCCTGCATGTTTTTTTATTTATGCTAAACTACAGACTTGAGAAGTGCACAATTTTTTTGTAGATAAGCTTTTTTACTACCTTGAACAATAACCAGGTAGAAAATTAGCAGGTTTAACTGTGGATGCTATTACCGGTTACGCATTTGCTGTTTCTTATGTCCTGTCAGTTACACCTACGTAACTCAGATAATTCGTTTGTCCTTATGTGAGCAAAATGTGCTGCTTTGCTGTGTTTTATTATATAACACCGCTGAGGCATGGCTTGCATTCTGTATTAAGTGAATGACTAGTGGTTGGGGTACACGTCAGTCTAAACAAACGCACTGAATATTGTTTTGGTCTGTCACCAGCACACTTGTGGAAATATAAAAGCAGAGGTTAGGGCTATCTTGGTCTTCGCTGTGCAGGGGAATGTGCTGTGCTCACTTCGGAACAGTTGGCAGCAACTGGCAGCGGTTCAAGTGCAAATGACAATCAATGGTTGTGAAATTTGTCAGTTTCACAGCTCCAAAGGTGGGGTTATGTGATAAAGAGCACCCATCGACGAGTAGCATCTGCTAGCTTTTCGCCTTTGCCGTTTTTGTTCTCTGCTTTGGCCAGACTGCCTTGCTTTGTCTTCCCAGCCTGTCCATCTAAATAGTATGTAGTATAAAGGAGACACCATCAGGCTCACTTAGCTTTTGGTTTGGTTTTTGTGCTTTATTGTCAATTAGCATCTTCAAATCTGCTGAGCAATTTTACTATCAGTGACACTACAGAAGTGTCTCAAGAACATACAATTGCCGTTACCTTGACATTGTACAAAATTTCGGAGTTGGGGATTGAATGCCCATGATATGGGGAGAGCAAAACAAATGTATTTAAACTGAAAAGTAGAAAGTATTCCAAGAAAATGTAAGCAGGTAAAAGGTTTCTATAATTGTTATTTGTGAAGTGGTGTGCTAAGTGTGACATTATTAGATAAACCTCATGTTTTATGAAATTGTTCATCATACTAAGCTTATTTTTCAACGGGCATAAGGTGAATTTTGTTTTCTGAGGATGTGTTAACTGTCTACTCTGTTTAGACACAATGATGGTTATAAAATACTGGGCCACTACCTTGTGACAATGATCTTTATTATGCTCATGCCTCCTTGCACTTTTTGTGCTTTATTTGGGGTCATGGTGACAATATGCCCAAGCTATCAGTGTAACCAGTGGGTCATAATGGATAAAGATGGCATGTAATTGAGCGGAAGTCATTGTTGCAAAATTGCGGCTCTGTTGCTGTGATTGTGCTTATGATAGTGCCTTTATTCCGTTTCAGGTGTTCAAGTGCATAGTGGGAAAGTGTGGCGAGACATTCACCGAGCTAGATTCCTTCTTGAGTCACGCCAAGAGTCATGAGAGCAACATGATGTATCGTTGTGGTCACTGTCCACGCACTCTGGCCTCCTTGTATGAACTCAATGTCCACCAACTTACACATTCACTTTGTGTGACCAGTGACAATCGTAGCATCAGTGTCACCATTGGTCGGGGCACAACTGCTGCCAAGGCCAACAACAGGCAAGTCAACCTGGGCAATGATAATGTCGAAGCTTTATTGGGTGCACTTTTTTTTCATTATTTGCCATTGCGAGTAGATTATTTGAAAAGTGAGTGCAATAATATTGCCTGTAGAGCTACCCTTCTGACGTACAAGCGTGTTCTAAATTCAGGATTAGTTGTAGTAGCAGTAGTAGCATACATTTGCAGACCTTGAGCATTCTGTTATTTAGGGCGCATAGTTAAACCTTGCTACACCAGGCTGCACTTTGGTGGAGGGAAATTGTAGTTTAATTCATCAAGTTATCACAGCAGATTCATTCAATGCTCCTTTATGCTATACTCTTCTTTGGTGCTTCATTACGCTGCTTTACTGGTTTAATTCTGCTGTATCTTCAAGCTCTGTAGTGCTGACTAGTTTGCTTTCCTTGCTTTTGTGAATCTTTGTTGCCACTGTACAGGTTTCTGTAGCTCAATATTAAAATGTACCATCCAAGGGCTTGCTGAATATGCAGTGTGACATGACGTTGGCACGCAAGGTAATTCTATTCGCGGCAAGTTCAGGCTACAGGTGGCAGCACCGTCTCCACGTAAGTGTGGATAGGCGGTCAGCGGCAGGTGTACAAATACATGCGACAGCGCTTTGTGGTGTGCGGTCTGAGCCAATTGTCGGTGAGTGAAATACGTTGACTACAGTTTACTGAAAATATCTACGCTCCTCTCTACTGAATCGATGCACGAAGCGTTGCGAATACTACCCAGTGAAGCGCATTCTGCCTTTCAAAGGGATGCTTGCCCTGGGTGACTGTCTACGCTCTTTCAAACTAAATCACACTCTTGCTGTGTTTGTATGTGTTTAGCTTGTGTTTCACCTGCTACGCACTGCTGTAGCGGGACTGAACTACTTATTTACTTCTTCCTGATCTGTATCCAACAAAGAATAGAGAAACAAAGATTCTAGAAAACTTGCACATCTGTGTGATGAGTTCAGTACCACCATTCACACTTATACACATATGCATTTTTTTCTCATTCTGTTCACCATGAAATGTGGTACAGTAGATAAGTCTGGACAGGAAAGCTTAGTGGCTGATGGTGCCTTGTGTTACATTGTGTTCACCATGTATACATTCATGTTCTTGCACGAGTAGATATAAAAATTTTGCAAGAGTTATGAAGAAAGCTTTCATCAATAAGTTACGTGTGTGACACGGCTACAACAAAGGTCTGGTTGTTTCGTGGGACAAGCGTTTTTTTTTTTTTTTTTCAAACGAGAAATGACCACTGCCTTCTGTCAGTCAATAACAATGCCACACAAATGCTTAAGGTAACGTAAAAAGATGAGATTTTCAGTGAAATGATATAACAATAAATGTAAGACATGCCGTCTGAATTAATTTTGAATGTCTGGGCTTTTTAAAGCGTTCTTCAATCTAAGCACCCGGTAACTCAGATTTAAGTGCAGTTTAAGTACGGAAGTGTCATAGTTTTTGTGATAGCAATATTTCTGTGTCGTGGTACGACGGCCAGATAAACACAAGTAATGCTTCTCCCATAATTGAGAAACTCAGAAACTAAAGTGCTGTAGTTGTGCACCTATCAACAACGCGCAAGTGTGTGGCCTAGAGCCTCGTTTTTGTTTACAACCGAGTTGTTAAAATTCTGCATTCACACACCATTTATTAGTCCTCATGTTTGGGAGGATGCCAAGAGCACTTTACAATGTGCTTGAAGCAGAAGGTGGCACTCACTCAAATAATTCTGGTGAATGGGGGTACGACGACAATAACAAGCACTCTGGAAAGTTGCACTTGCTGTTGTTATTACAATACTTTAGCAGCTTAGCAAAACCAAATTCTTTTTTACGTCGTTTCAGGCATACGTAGAAGCAGTTACACTCACGCTGACATCACCGGAAAATTACCCTTTGAGAACGTGCATGACGTATGCGCACATAGAAATACGACGTGGCTAGTAGATGACGCACGGAACAATCCACACTCGCGCGCTTCAGCCAGTTGCCGCCAGGCGGGGGACTCCGCTCGATATCGCAGCTAATGCAGGCAACTTGTAGAAGTGTCTCTATAATTTGTATATGAGCCACATATAATTAAGTAGAAAAGCAGCGTGCTTTTGGTCGTGCTTTTGGTCGTGCTTGTTCAATAAATCCAATATCTTGAAGATGTAAACATGTCATTGATACCTGCCCAGTGTTGAAAAAGACTGCCCATTTTGAAAGAGGTTATATCTCTATACAAAAGTGAAGGACCTTGTGTGACCTACTGCAAACACGATAATTTTAATGTCTCCTGCAGAATCTGTAGTAAATTTAATGTTTGGAGTACAAAGCATGTCCCCATTTTCTGTCCACTGCTTGTTCAATAAATCCAATCTGTCAAGGATGCCAACATGTCATTGATACCTGCCCAGTCTTAAAAAAGACTGCCCATTTTGAAAGACGTTATATCTCTTTGAAAAAGTGAAGGACCTTGTGTGACCTACTGCAAAAACAATAATTTTTAACGTCTCCTGCAGAATCTGATGGGGAAAATTTTATGTTTGGAGTACAAAGCATGTCCCCATTTTCTGTCCACTGACTTTTCATGTGCACCTTTCACCTAAATCTTGCCTGTTTCCAAGTAATGAAGCTGATTTTAAAGGAAGTAAATAATATGACGGTTTCTTTACATAATAAATAACTTTTTTTTTTTTTGCAGTGTCTTTATCTTAGTATTAAATAGCAGTAATTTTTAATGTCGGTTTAAATGGTAGAAATATGAGGTTCACATGTCTGTTAGATATTGCAGTGAGTTACAATAACACCTCATTATTCAATGCCCTCTTGACCTCTAGCACTATCTTGTAGTCCAGGAAAATCGACAATGTTGCCACGTTGGAATCCAGTATGTTTACGACTTTCTTGCATCATATCCACTGACTACATACTAAATGAACAAGGCACGTGACTGGGTCAGTTTTATTATTAAAGACTGTTTCTTAGGATACTTCAACGTGAAAAAAATTGGTCTGTCTGCCTGTTGGTCTTTGTGTCCAACGAGTAAGCCACCCGGCGAAAGTTGAGCCCATGCTCAACGTCCACCCATGTTGATCTGGTTGCTGTGTTCATACTTATGAACATTTTAAATCAAAAAGCAAGTGGTACGTGTATTTGAGGTGCAACATCAATATGCAAGTATTAGGTAGACTTTTCTTATTTAGAAAATGCATAGGTACATAATTTTAAAGACCGAAGTGCTTATTACGCTGTGCTGGCCATGCATTGCTATGAACGAAAAAGCGGGTATTTCTTGCGCTTTGCTAAAACGACACGGTGCTGTCACCTACCCGTAGCAGCTCTCCATTCTAAAAAACTTTAGTTTCTTCACATTACTGTAGCATGTTCAGCAAGGGCAGTCAAGGCCATGCGTCATTTTGTGGAGTCATATTTGTGTTCTTTAACTCTTTTCTTGAAATCCCCAATTTCACCGATGCACTGGCTGTCGCAGTTGTGGCAGGCTATGGCATAAACTAGACCAAGGAAATTTCTGCTCGGCAACTTGTCCTTCACATTAGCTGAAGCATTCCTTAGCTTCCATATTGATACGTCCACTATTTTCATATCTGTTGCTTCTACACATCACACGGCATATCTGACTTTCGAACCACATTTTTCATGTCTGTAAATTTATACGTGTTTGTCTAGGCCACGATTTCGGCTCGGCTTGAAGGCCGCCTGGTTTGTCTTGGTTAGAACTGCCATCATCAGAAGCTTTCCGGCTACTCATGCTTATTATTATTATTATTATTATTATTATTATTATTATTATTATTATTATTATTATTATTATTATTATTATTATTATTATTGGTGATGCAACTGCAAACATCCTCAGCTACACACTTATTGCTGGTAGCTCGTGTTTCAAGGGTAGCACTTGGGTAACTTCAGCTAAATTTCTTATTTCAGTTTCGTGAGATCGTGTAAATAAATCTGCATTTATTTTTCAGCATCACGTCCACAGCACAGTACATGAAAGTAACGTGTTGACATTCGTGATTCATCTGTGGGATCAAGGAAGCTGTTGCACCTTGGCAGATTCTTTTTTGCCACCACTATTCCAACGTCGGCACTTTAAACGTTGTCCCCAGGTTTCATTGCAGCCGTACAAGGACTTTCGTTGCACTTCAAGTGTCAGAATCCTGAGACAAAATACTATATGGATAGGCTTGTTGGAAAAAGAAAGAAAGAACATTTTGCAGTACGGCTCTGCTCTTGCATCGTTGTTGTTACTAGTTGCCAAGGCAAGGTACAGAGAATACACGAGTAGTAGTTGTTCTTTTTTTTTAGTTTTTGCTAAAAAGTATATTTTAGAGGTGCGCAAATTAATCAGGTACGTAAATCGATAGTAAATTGAGCATTCCAGGTCGAGTCAGGTCTAATCTAATTCACATGCTAAATAGTTGAGTCAATAAATACAGCAGTTTAGGTGGATCTAATTCAATCCAATCCGCATCCCAAGTGGCTTGGGCAACCGCCAATATAGTAAATTAGGTTACACTTCAATGGCAGAACCGGCCAGGCTCCCGTGTCCTGATTTTATACGCATGCCGCAAGATGGCACCACTTCTATGTTTTCTAGCAGCATTGATTGCGATGTCGGAATAGCGCAGGCTCCTTCAAACTTTCATCTGCGGTTACGTTTAACTTGTGTGTTTGCTTTCTGATTCTTCTGAACATCGAACAGCTGACTTGCTGCTCACTGCTTAACTCAGGGGTTTTATTTTGGCTAGATATACATATTTTTTCACACTTACTGCATGCACTCAAAACATTCTGAGTGCATCTGGTAAATGTGTTTGCTAATATAGAGTGCCTGATTTTTTTTTTTACCACTCGAGGGTTCGTTTTCAGTGCACAGAGTTTTCTATGCAGATGTGGCGGTCATGGAATTTGCTTTTAATTATCATGGAAAACCTGGAAAAGTCAGGGAATTTAGAAGTGTGAAATTGGTAGACACCCTGGTAATATTCAGTTGTGCCCCTGGCTAGTGTCTCTTTTTTTTTTTTTTCATTATTCTTCTATAAACATACCGTAAAAACCAGAATATAGGTTGGACTTAAATATAAGTCTCCCCCATACTTTGAAACTCTGAAAAAGAAAATTTTGAAAATCGCAAAGTATCGCGACCCACTCTTATCTTGGTAAATACACGACGCAACTAGCTGCACTGTAGTGACATTTCTTTTTATTTGGACACTAATCTTATGTAGTTAAATGCCAAAAGGCCACAATGTGCTGTCTCTCAGACTCGTTTAAACTCGAGTCCGACCGTCTGTTTTTCACTAGTAACGTCCCAGAGTGCATCGTCCTTCCTTCTATCTAGTGCGTTACTGATGCAGCATTTGCGGAAAGACAGAAGTACGCCACCTCAGCGCAAAGCTCTTCAACTTCATAAATCGGCGCACCAATGATGGCGACCCCTTGAATTGCACCCTCGTGAGCCCAGTCGCGTGTTAACTCGAGAGCTTTCACATGGATGCACTCCGCTGTTACGGGTAGCGACCTTGCACACAGATTCCGCACAAATTTGGCGAGTAGCAGCTTTAGTTCAGGGTGCATTGCTGTCTGTCCACAAAATGATGTTTTTCGGTTGCTGCTAGCTGTGATGTGCTGCTTTTGGTTCCTTCAGTACCTGATGCATTTCTTCGATGCACCGAATTCTCGTTGTGCCGCCAGGTTACCGTGCATTTCGGCATACTCGATAACTTTTTTCTTAAGACTATCGTAAACTGCCGTCGACTACCACTCATTTCTGAATGAAATAGAGAAAAGAAAACAGCAGACTGACAGCAGATAACCGAGGTGAAAGGGCATTGCTAGAACACTGTAAGTCAATCTTGCTAGGTCGAACAAGGTGATGTAGCCAAAAGCCAGAGCAACCGTAGCCCAACGTAATCAAAGACAAAAAAGAAAAAATTATTGCAGCCAAATATAGCCATTCACTTTTGCAGCTTTATTTAAACTTATAATTTCACTTTTGACATTTGCAAAATCTTTGTACAATCCGTCCTCAGTGTATCTTCTCTAGTGCGTCCCGAAACCACGATGTGATTATGAGACACACCATAGCAAAGGACTTCATAAATATTCACCAACTGCAATTCTGCACCTAAATCTAAGTAGACGGGCCTCGTTTTTAGTGTACCAAACAGCTTGCGTTGGAGAATGTGAAAGTATCATTATTCAGATGCTTCTTAAGCGAACAACCGCACTTCAAGCTCTTATGTTGTTGGGCAAGCTTTTGACATTAAAAAATTTCAAGAAGAAAATGAAAAGAAAGCAAAATTGTGAAAGTAACATCCCAAGGCGAGCTGTTCTATAGAACCAGCTATAACCAACTCAGCATTATTTAACATATGAAGCAAAACACGACTAAGAATTATTTTTGTACTTCTCCACACAAATTTTATGATCATAGACACCTGCCTTGCCACCGTCTGTCTCTATGAACATTCAGAAAATGCGCCCAGTTCAGTTTAGCACCACCAATTAACAAAAATGGCTCCTTATTGATGTCTAATGTGGGTTAAAGATGTTTTTACTCCCAATGAATGCATTTCACCTCCTAATGAATGCGTAAATATTGTTGTGGCTGTGAAGGATAGAGTAGTGAATACGGTAGATATTGATCATAGTCGAGGTTTCACACGCCAAAACGACAACATAATTATGAGAGACGCTGTAATTGAGGGATACGGCAACAGCGACCACCTGGGGTTCTTTGAAAGCACGCAGCCCTCTGTGGCATTTCGTCTTCATGGAAATGCGGCCACAGCGGCAGGGATTCAATCCCACGACCTTCAGTCAACAGTCGAGCCACATAACAACTAGCCCATGAGGGTGGGTAAAACTGGATAAAAAATATTTTGGCTAAACTTACTGCAAGTAAAACATATGCCACGCAAAGCACGAGAGGTGAGCACAAGTGCCGAAATCTGATATTGGGCGAAACCCGTGAGCTCATTATTCATCACCATGGCCAGGTGCATGACTCATCACTTTTTGCAAGGTATGCACTCGGACATGTGTAGGTCAAGCAGCATGCACAGCACGCCTATTAGCGTTCCACCAGTAATCTGATTAAATATAGGATTAATTGTTATGTGATCGGCAAAATTGCTGAGGGTTCTGATAAATGAAAGCCCACTTGTACCTATAACTACAAATACCTATCTAGCTCCTTCGCTTATGTCTTGAATTGTGTCCTGAAATCGCGGGGTTCACATGTCAATACAGCCAAAGTACGGCTTCCGTAAAGGTGGAAAGGCATTCCACAGTTGTGCGAGTGAAAATGGGTATAGACCGCTAGTGCTTATCGCACGGTTTTCTGCTCGCTTAGGCGACAGTCGACACATGTGGACTTGTGGTGAATTTTGAGGTTCTCGGCTTCTTTAAGGTCAATCGGCTTCTTTAAGGTCAAATGTGAATGTGTCAATAGAGGTTTGTGTTCACCCTATATGAGTTACATCTGGAGAGTTAATTGCGACGCCGGACTTACAGCCCAAAAATAAGCCAAGTCTCCGATTTTAGTAGCCCAAATATAGCCACATAGCCAACTAGCCCAAGGCAATGCCAGGACTTTTTTTCTGTAGCTCAATTTGCTAATATAGCTTAACCTGGCAACACTGCTGTAGCCCTTGCCTGGCCTTGCCCAACAGCACCGCTGCTGATGCCTACGATAGCAATGGAGGCTTTGGAATTTAGCTCCCCGTTGTTGCGAGACTTCCACATTTTTTCCTGCCAATGACCGTTATATAAAACGAGGGTCGACTTTTCATTTTTTTTATTCGACGTGTATTCCAGTTTTTACGATAGGCTTGTGCAAATATTCCAGCACTTCACATATTTGAAAAATATATTGCAGTATTAAAATTCACTTCAATTTGAATTTTTATTCTTGCAAGTTTTGAAGTATTTGAAATGAATGAACAGGGTTATATACCCTTCAGTTGCGAATTATGATGCATTGTCTACAAATGTGTAAATTCACATAGCATAATTCCAATACACTGCATATTACATTTTAAAAAAAGCAGAAGCAATATGTTATTTCATGCGAGTTTCACACATTGTTATTAGCATGTAATCAAATATATTATTATTCTATCCTCAGTCACCTTCCATTTTGACATAAAGGGAATGATAGCATAGGCTCCAAATGTATGCACAATTAGTTTTTGGTTGTATTCACTTACGTAAAGAAAAGTAGTACTCTTGACATTGATTCTGGAATAAGCATGTCGAACATCTTAATGCCTTCACCAAGGTGATCGGCAGTAGTGATATACAGTGATGTTAAGTCTAGACATAATGTTTATGCAGAAAGTTCAGTACTATATGCAATCAGCAATGTATATTGCTCTCTATTCGCCACATGTGGACACAACTGGCATAAAGAAGTTGCATACACAAATGTACCACTGCTGCTGAATGGGATATTAGTCTCCTCGACCTCTCCCTTTCTCTGCTCTTAAAGGTGGTTCCACTGCATCGTAGGGGTGCTGTACCATGAATACACATATCCAGGGAAAATCAGCATTGTTGCCAAGCCTCACTTAAAAGTTACCCTCACATTGATTCATCCTTCTTTTTTTTTACATTTAGAAGATTGTTATACTGGCTTGTATACTATACTATGCTCTTGGCAAATTTTAAACTGTAATATACTTTACAGATTATCACTTCATTCTACTGAAAGTAAAATTTGGCTACTATTCAAAGTTGCTTATACTCTTTTTAAACCAGATAGAATACATTTGCACAAGCCTTATTTCAGTTTTTATGAAATATTGTGCAGGTTGAATGCAATTTGAAATTATTTGACCAAATCACTATCTATTTTGAATTTGCTTCATACCTAAAGTTTACTATTTGCAAAAGCCTAACAAACATGATAAGAAGTTTTTCTTAACTCCTTTCTTGCAGACCGATATCTATTTATTGTCCATAGTAATTTTAGTGTTGTGAAGTTTAGGCATTTTCAAAGTAACTTGACATTGTGCTTGCAGGCCCCACCAGTGCCCTCACTGTCTCAATCGATATGCTACGCCAGAAGCATTAGCTCATCACCAAGCCACCTGCAGTCCCAACTACCCATGCCCAATATGCCGAAAAGTGTTCCCTTGTGAGCGATATCTTCGGCGCCATTTAATTGTTCATCGAGCGTCAACACCCCACGTCTGCTCAGTGTGCCACAAAGGTTTCAAGACTGACCATTACCTTAAGGTAAGCAGCATGTTTGTCTAACCTAGAGAACTCACCATGGTTACTCGGCACATATGGCTTTGCATGGCTGAGCGTGAGTTCATTCTGAAATTAGATCTCAGGCAGCAGCATCTCATTTCAGTGGATGTGACCAGATGCTCATGCACTGAAATAGCATGGCATGTAAAAAATCCTGTATGATCTAAATGAAAGATTCTCTACACAGCATCTTCAAGCTGGCCAGCATCTGTGCTAAGCACATGTTTGCTGAACCTGTCATTCCGATTGTGGCACTTGGTGTTACAGGCTGATGGGTGCTTTGTGTAGTTGTGTAAAGGGAACAGCACACTGTTGGTAGTGACCATGTTGCAAAATGTTTTACAGAGAGTCGCAAAGGTGAAACCTTTATGCAGTCTTGAGTAACACCCACTTCCGGAGCATAAGATGTGTTTACATTGTCTACTGTCCATTGTGTTCACGCTATTTACAAAGTCAATAGATATAGTATTAGGGCCACCTTAGAAAAAGATCAACCAAAGTACAAAGTAGGATTTCGTAGAGGCTACTCAAAAGTAGACCATATTTACACTCTTTTGTCAGGTGACAGAGAAATGAGCAGAATATAACCAGTCCCTCATATAACCAGCTTTCATAGATAACACGGCTGCATTTGATATTTGGTAGAAACATCAGGAGTCATGCAGGCACTATAAAATGACTGTATTGATGAACCATATATAAAAATACTGGAAGAAATTGCCACGAAATGCTGGAGTCTGCATCCGGTGTTGCACGGGACACGCCAAGGGACGTAAGTGGGACTGTTTGTAGTGAGAGCCTGTTGCGCGGCAAACTGCTTCCAGCTGTTCACCACATGCCTACAGGAGCTTTTCGGGGCTGTAGATTGGGAGTATTTAGCAATATAAGTTAGTGGAGAGGGCCTTAGTAACTGTAATTATCCGAGAAAATTGTCTTGATTTGGGGGACTAATAGCAAATCATGACAGAGTTGAATAAGAAAATTAGAACGGTAGGTCTGAAAATCAATAGGCAGAACACTGAATCAATGTTTAACAGTCTTGGAAGAGATTGTTTTGCACCACGTAGAGAGGCACTGAAAAGGAATATGTTTACATTGACCACAGATCCGAAGAAGAAGTCTTAAGTGACAAGAAGAAAAGAATGTGGTGGGGAGCGCATTTGGCTGGCATTCTCAAATCACAAATGGTAGTTTACCACCATTCTCAAAAGAAAGGTATAATATAGTGGCTGCATCTTACTAGTTCGTACCTGCAAAGCAGAAATCCAGAATAAATGGGCATCATCAGAGTATTTAATGGGAAGGCTAGATAACCACTGGTCGTTAAAGGTACATAACAGGTCGGATCCCAAGAGGAGGCAAACGCGCAAGTGTGAGACAGGAAGTTATGTGGGCAGATGAGATTCAGTAATACCTCATTAACTCGAACTCGCATATCTCAAAAAATCAGCCAAGTCAAATTTTCCGCAGCACCGAACCTTTTTTTGTTACGTTCCATGCATTTTTTTCCCTTTATCTCGAAGTATTTCTGGATAGGGTTGCGGATATCTCGAAATCTTGAGTGGGAGTAAAAAAAAAAATTTCGTCATTGGACCATTACACAAGATTTGCGCGATGCTACTATGCCTGAAATCCGTCAAATTTTTACTTTTTATTTGTTATTTAGCCGTGCCTGCCGCTATGTCGATACTTTCCACGACCATGAAGTCTGAGCCTAGCGGCATATCAACTTTGTCGAGCAACCCTGTAGCACATCATGTGACTCCCACGCAGCAGGTATAGACGGTTTCGGTGTTCGTAAACAAGCTGACTAGCGTTGAACGGCCTACCCCAGCAGACTTCCGGTGCGGCACTTTCGGCAATGCTTTTTCTGTAGTTCTGACAGTGTTTTCGTGGTGTGTTTCAGTTTGCTGTTCTTTTATTTCTGGCGCATTCCTTAGGATGTGTTTGCAGCAACGTCTAGCGGCTACATGAAGGGGCTCACTGCTCGCATGGCCGATGGGCGCCGCGCAAAATATCCGTCGTGGCGTTTCCGATCAGCGTGGCACCCTGCTCTGTGTTGCCTCTGATAGTGGTCGCGCCTATATACTCAGAAAATGCATAAACTGCAGGAGAAGTTTGTCAGTGAACTTAATTGGGCCAGTTCGTTCTGCATGGCAACAATGTGGATGCGCTTTGAAGACGCGGAGCGGGAATGGACAGCGCACGCACGTTGTCGACATGCAGAAGAAGAGCCGCTCGATTCATTGTGCAGTTGTTCAATTCATCAATTCATCTTTTCGACTAGAACTATAAACCTTCCTCCTGTTGATTCCCGAATTTACTTGTGTTTTCGTCTAAGCATACAACCTCACGATAAAATGCTTATTTCTGCGCCTGTGTCACACCGGGCACTTTTTAAAGGGATTAGCGGCGATCAGAATAGATTGTGATCTGAAGTGTTCATGTGACTGAGAAATTATAAAATGTGCTGAAGTGATGACGTCAAGTGCGGCTGCAGGGTCACGCGAACTATTATGGTTTACTCACGAATAAGCTATTCATGAATCAAACTTTCTAGTTGAACCTACCTAAATTTTGCAGTCTATGTTCACTCCTAAAGGATACATTAGCGATAATGCGGCGATGTTCATTAGCGGCAGAAAGGCAGGCGATGAGTCATTTTGCTCGCACCTATGAGAGCCCACTCGCCGGCTTCGCTTTAAAAAAAAAAATCAAATGCACCGACAACGAAACGTGAACACCACAACGTACACTGTGCGGCGATTCATGTTCAGTGCGAGTACTTCGCGTCCCGTGTCGTTTCGAACAGTGGACATAATTGATATCGCTCAAACCATAAAATAAACAACTTTGAGATGGATTTTCAGTGTTGGCATTCACGTTTTGCTGCCCATTTCAGGCGTCAGTACACTTATGTGCCATGGGTGCAACACGACAGTGACTGCATGATGTGTTCCCAGTAACCGGGCGCCTTCTACTAGTTTAACGTCTGAGTATCGCCTCTGTGCCATCAGTCTGCGCTGAGCTTTAAATTGCTTTTGATGAAGTGCCGAACAAACCTACACGCTCTTAGTGGGAATCCAGTTTTCTCGCGTGATCGCTACAATGCAGGCGCTCTATCTTCATCAGTCCGTAAACAGAACGTTTTGACTAGCATATAAAATTAATTTAGGCCTGTAGACTGCATTGTGGCTTGACACAGCTGTGCTCGAGTTGCCAACGCTTCATCGGAATAACTCTATCCTCATAAAACATTGGAACACAAGTAGCCACGGCCAGCAACAAACGCTAAAACCACGCAAAAACAAGCTAAATCAGAAGTTTCCAGAGGTGGTTTTCCGGTGAATGCACAATGTTGCTAGAGACCGGCAGGCTCTGGCGAAACCGTCTATAGAGGCTAGAAAGGTTTTCCTAGTGTCGCGAACGGGCGCCTTCCCAGGCGGTGGCAGAGAAACTAGAAACTAGATTTAAACATCCTTCGTGCGTCATCAAATACATACCGGCGATGCTAGTGTTGTTAGACGGCGACCATATTGTGTTTCCCAGTCTGAACGCCAGGTCATACAATGAGAAGTCGAGAAGTCCATGGGCGTCACCTGTTGCTTTAGTCAAAAAGGATGGCAGCTGGAGATTTTGCGTTGACTACCATGCCTTGAACAAGATAACCCGCAAAGACGTATATCTGCTGCCACGAATCGATGACGCCCTTGTCTGCCTTCATGGCGCGCGATACTTCTCATCTATAGGTCTGTGTTCAGGCCACTGCTAAATTTCTGTCGACAATTTAGACTGAGAAAAAACTGCCTTCATCACAACGGACGGCCTTTATTAGTTCAAGGTTTTGCCTTTTGGGCTGTGCAGCGCCACGCAAGGTTTGAACGCATAATGGACTCTCTCCTTCGTGGTTATAAATGGTCCATCTGCCTTTGCTACTTCGACGATGTGATTGTTTTTTCCTTAACATTTGAAAGCCACCTAACTTGTTTGTCGCCATTCTAGCCGTTTTTCGTCGAGCAGGACTCCAGCTGAACTCTAAAAAGGGCAATTTCAGCCGACAAGAAATCACGGTCCTTGGTCATCGTGTAAGTGCTGCTGGCGTCCAACCAGACCCTGACAAGATTAGCGCTTTCAAGAATTTCCCTCTGCCTTCTTCCACCAAAGATGTTCGTAGTTTTGTGGGCTTATGCTCGTACTTCCAACGTTTTATACGCAATTTCACTACAATTGCATGACCACTAACTGATCTTCTCAAAAAGAATGTGCCCTTCTCGTAGGGCCAAGACCAAGCAGCTGCATTTTTCCACGCTGATCGACCTGCTCACTTGATCACCAGTACTAGCCTACTTCAATCCGTCCGCGATGACTGAAGTTCGCACAGACGCCAGTGCTCACGGCATCGGCGCCGTTCTCGCTTAACACCAGGAAGGTCAAACACGTGTTATTGCGTATGCCAGCCGCCTTCTCTCCACATCTGAGCGAAACTATTCAATAACGGAGCACGAGTGTCTTGTGTTGGTCTGGGCTGCAGCAAAATTTCACATTTACTTGTATGGCCAGGAGTTTTCAGTTATTGCGGACCACCACGATCGGTGTTGGTTGCCGTCGCTCAAGGACCCAACTGGTCGCCCAGGTCGCTGGGCTCTACATCTCCAGGAGTATAACTTCGACGTAATTTATAAGTCTGGCAAGCTGCACCTAAGATCCGATTGTCTCTCCCGTTATTCGGTGGACACTGCTAGCCTTGCTGTCCATGAGAGCGATTCTTGTGTACTCGCCATATCTAATTTGCGGAACATCGGCACAGAGCAGTGCCGGGACAAACCCATCAAGGCGGTCATTGATCGGAGCGTCTTCAGGACATTCCGACCTTTCGCTCTGTCAATATGTCCTTCGCAACTAAATTCTGTATCGCCGCAACATGAAGACTGATGGCCCGGAATTTTCGTTAGTTATTCCCCGACACCTGCATGTCACTATTTTCAACATCTGCATGACGCTCCAACGGCGGGACACCTGGGTCTTTCAAGCACCTATCACCGCGTTGCGGCAATGGTTCCTTTGGCATGGTGTGTATAAATTTGTGTGCCGTTATGTCGCTGCTTGTCGAGTGCTGCCAGCGTCGCAAACGTCCTGCTCTCCATCCGACTGGTCTGCTCCAACCTAATCAACATTCCCCTGGAACCATTCTTCCGCGTCGGCCCTCGACTTTCTCGGGGCTTTCCAGACGTCTGTGTCAGGCAACAAATGAATCGCTGTCGCACTGGACTATGTGGCCAGATACGCTATAACTTGTGCTTACCAACTAGCTGCGCTACAGGCATCACAGACTTTCTACTGAATGACGTCATTCTGCGGCATGGGCCTCCATGCCACCTCTCTGGCAGGTCGTGGCCACCTGCTTCCGCGCGAAAATTATCAATGAAATCCTCTGTAGCTGCTCTACCAAACGTCGCCTTACTACTGCGTACCATCCCCCAGACCAACGGTCTCACGGAGCGTCCCAACTCTTACAGAGATGTTTGTCTTTGTACGTCTCTGCTGACCACCATGACTGAGATTGAATGCTCCCCTATGTTACGTTTGCGTATAATTCGTCAAGGCATGACACTGCGGGCTATTCTCCGTTCTTTCTTCTGTACTGTCGCAAACTCTGCGCTTTTTTTTCGCAACTCTGCACTCCCTCCTTCTGATACTATCCAACAACAATGTATGCTCAGAACGTTGCTTCTCGAGCCCGCGCTGCTCACCAAATCATGCACACTAGGCTCAGTGCTTCTCAGGCCTCACAAAAGTCCACTACAATGACTGGCACTGCGACGTTGACTACCCTGCTGACTCTCTTATCCCACTTAGGATGCCGTATCGACGTGAAGGCTTGTGCGGGAAGCTCCTCCTACGATACACAGGGCCCTACAAAGTTCTCCGCAAGGTCACCGACGTTGACTACCTCATCACTCTCGTTCAACCACACTCATCTTCTGCCACACCACCTACTGATGCTGTTCATGTGTCGCGCCTAAAACGCTACTATACTGCCAGTCCTAATTGACTTAGGGGCGCTGTCACGGCGCTTTGTCCGCCGGGGGTTATGTTGCAAGGCAGTGGAAATGGCTTCGCCGTTATAGACGAATCGATAAAGAAGCGGACTCGCTGCGCGAGATGCTGGCAGCCCTGGGGTATCACACCTACCTGTAAAGTTGGAAATGCACTCGTTTCTCTCTTTCATGTGTTTGTAATCCCCGTTGACAGTACTCAAACGCAACTGTGTGGAAAAGAATGCTAGTAAACTGGAACTGAAGCCCCGAATCTCCTACATTCGTTCCATGTGCGCTATATATCCCGCTTGTATGTGCTGTTCAGATGAAGATAACGTGGCAGCATATTCTGAAGGTCAGTTTTTCTTTTCATTCGTTTACAATTATTGGCACCCTGTGTGACGAGCACAGCGACTTTCTTCCGTTATCACAAAGCTTGTTTGAACGAGAAATGCCTGAGAGCGCGGACCCAGAGTGTAAATGCAGCACGCCAGCAAGCGGTTTGCGCCCTCTGGAGGCTGTATCGTAAACTCTTACAGCTTTGCGCGCCTCATTTACGACACTAGAAAAACCTTTCTAGCCACTATACAGCAGGCCTAGCTCTTTGCCCCATGCTTGGCGTAGTCGCGTGGTTTGGGGGGCGAAGCTCCCTATGCTGTGGGTCGGAGCGTCCGCGATGTATGTAGTAGTAGTAGTAGTAGGTAGCCCACCTCCACGGCTGGACTAAAGGAGCGGCACGCGTGCACCCTTTTCAATTCAGGAGGAAAGCAGCGACGTTAATCATAAATTAAAAGATAGTTGTTTCTGATGAAATAACTTACAGAGACGAGTATTAGTGACTTAATCTTCAATAAATTTTGCCTTGAATTCGATGCTTAAAAAAAAAAAACTAGTATCAGAAGGACGCACTGTGAGCACTATCTGACCAGAAGGGTTGCTGGTCATAACCTCCTAGGTTTTAGCAAGGTTTAGCGAGGGTTGGGGCGCAGTGCCATGAATATAGCGAACTAGTATATAGCCATGAACTAGAGGCGGCGAAAGGTGGGATGTAGACACAACGCGCAGGCCGTAAGAAAGTGCGCGTGTACCACCTCTCGTTCAGTCCTTGGAATGTCCGATGAATGGTGGTACTTCTATATGCTGAATATATGATGAAAAAATGCGAGATGGCGGTACTTGGATTGTTCACTAGATTGACGGATGGACAGACAGACAGATGCACGGACGAACGCAGGGACGGACGCACAGAGGGATGCACGACGAACGGATGCACTGACGGACGCACGGACGGACATGTGAAGGCTTTGCCCCACTCATCATCATGCACTCCGTGGATATGCTGTGATTTATTTCTTGTTCATGTGGCAGTGCTTGTTGTTTTTCTAAGGTGTGATTTCCGTTCACTCCAATCTGCTCAACGCGCATGCGGTACATATTTAACGCCGACTTTGAGGAGCGGCGACTTAGCGCGAGTACGGCAAGCATGGCGTCACAAAAGCAGTGCAAGTCACTAACGCTAGAAAAGAAGGTTGCCTTAATTTAAGGAAGTGAAGAAAGGAGGCCAAACGAAATCAACCATCGCGCAGGAGTTTGGCACCCCTTTGTCTACGCTTCGAACGGCGCTGATGAGCAAGCAGATCGTGCTCGATAGATATCAGCAGAGCTTCTCAAGCCAGTGGAAGCAGGTTCGAGGCTCGAAGTGTGGTGACTTTTCTTGAATACGTGCTGTGCGAGCAGGATATGCCGGTGACCGGAGAAATGACGGATGCCAAAATCGTTCAAGTGGCCAATAACGTAGGGGGCGGCGGAAACGACGCCGATGACGAACCACCTCGAGAGGTGCCGACATCTACAGAAACAAGAAATTTGCCACGTTTGCTTCGAATAAGGTGGAGTGCAGCGGCGGGGAAGATCGTCTAATGCGATGCATGAAAGCAGCTGGAGGACGCCTTCCTAGGCCCGAGCACGACCGCAAAGCAGACGAGCATTAGGGAGTTTTTCTTCACGAAATAAAATGGCAGTGCTGCAAAATCCACCTGGTTGTCTCTTGTGCGATATTTTTTTTCTCTTTAAACTTTCACGATAAGAAACATTAGATACTGCTGCTGAAGAGCCGGTAAGTAGTTTTGATTTTGTTAAAAAACGCTTGATTTTTCCCGGCGATTTGCGCAACTTCGCTTATATCGATTTTTTTTTTTTTTTTTTTTTTTTTTTTACAACTTCGAGTTAACGGGGATTACTTAGTTTGCGGGTATAATGTAACTCCAGCAAGCACAGGACTGGGTTGATATGGTGAAAGATAGGAGAAGCCTTTGCCCTGCTGTTGGCCTACTCTGGCTAATGATGATGATAATGTTGACTACATATTTTTCGCTTTGTACCTTCATCGTGCTTTAGGAGCAAAGTGAAACAGATAAATCAAACAAGTCACAGTATGAAACATTTTCTTTATTGCCTGGGCCATTTACTCAGCTAGGCCAACTTGACATGCTGATTTGTGTGTTGTTTTTTATTTGTCTTCAAAGAGATATGGCTGAAGGCTAACTGCATAAAATTGCATACCTCATAAATGTGTAGTTGTGGCCCCGCTGCGGTGGTCTAATGGCTAAGGTACTCGGCTGCTGACCCACAGGTCACAGGATCGAATCCCGGCTGCGGCAGCTGCATTTTCGATGGAGGCGGAAATGCTGTAGGCCCGCGTGCTCAGATTGGGTGCACGTTGAAGAACCCCAAGTGGTCGAAATTTCCGCACCGCTCCACTACGGCGTCTCTCATAATCATATGGTGGTTTCATAATCATAAGCTTAGTTCTGGATAGTGTAGGTGTACAGAAGCATCACAGAACACTTAGAGAAGAAAATATTCTTCCTACTGAAACTGAAAATGAAAAGAAAAAAAGCCACGATGAATTTTTTTCAGTTGAAACAACACTTCCTATCCTGTACAATCAGAAAATGCACATCTGTGTCTGTAATTTTACCAGCTTTCACAAGACCCCACACAGACAACACGCATGAGAGGATTAATGCATCAAACATAAACAAACCTTTAAATGTCTTCACTATTTTTTTTAATTATTATTATTGTAGAAGAATGTTAATAAAAAAAATTAACCTGTGTTCCACTGAGCACTCGGTAAAAGCTGGGAGGAAGGACTTCATAAGTTTGTCAAGTGCTGTATGCTGTCACTCTCTTGGACTGGGTGGTCAGGGCGTCCAGCTATGCCCCTTGAATCCCCGCATGTATGGACATACTCATATGATTGAAGAACTGTTCCTTTAGCCTTGCTGCCTACATGGAGTAGAAGTACTTCATCGAGGCTGCTGAGGACTTGCCCTGGCATGACATTCCTTGAAGCCCTTGCTCTGATGGTCTTGCTTCTGTCGTGACATTCAACTGAATTGTAAATGAGACATGCTTTATAAGGGGAGAAGTCTGTGAACCTTGCCTGAATTTTTTTTTTTTTCACTTTAAATCTGCATCATTGTTTTAGAATGACTACGATTATTCTCTGTTGCTTCTTGATATCAATTTTTTTGCTTTACTCATTATCACTTTCATAAAAACTAGACTTGTTCTTATGCACTCAGTGGTAGTTTTCCCCACTTATGTTTCATTTATTTTTCTCCATTTTGAACAGGTCCATGCAGTTGTGCACTCTGCAGAGAAGCCTTTCCTCTGTTCCCAGTGTGGAGCTACATTCACCGACAGGACAAGCTGAAACGGCACTACCTTGTTCATGAATCAGTCAAACGATTCAAATGCCCTTTTGCTGCGCACCTAGGCTGCCGCAAAGAGTTCAACCCGTGCTGACAAGCTGAAATCGCACTTATTGACTCACAGTGGCGTGAGACCCTACGAGTGCCGCACATGTGGTCGTGGTTTCACGCAGAAACAAAGGCTGCATGAGCATGAGAAACTTCACTCTGACGTTCGCTCATATCAGTGCACCAGTTGCCAGCAGAGCTTCTTGAACCGCAAAGCACTGGATGACCATGCATGCGCTGGCGCAGCCCACCACAACCGACAGGCATGGTCTGCGGCACTTCGAGGGCAGCGGCGGCGCTTTAACAGCCCAAGGGCAGTCAAAGCAAGAGCGCGATTGGCAAAAGGGCGATCGACTGCAGCTGAGGATGGCGTGGATGAACTTGCCGGCGAGCCTGTTGAGTTAGGTAAAGGTGTGGGTGAGAAACAGCTTGACTCTACTGGGCCCAATTTGGAAGAATTGGAATGTGCAGAGGATATTCCAACAGCACACATTGAGATTATTTCAGCAACAGGAGATTTGGACACTGCAGTTGCTGCTGTGACACAGGTGTACCAGCCTGTAGAAGAAACCGTGGTGGTCAATGGTGTAGAGGAAACTACTATTTTATATGAAGCTGTAGACGAACCTTATAGTGAGGTAGTTTAAGAAGCATTGCATATTATGACACATCCTTCTGGCTGCTGGCAACTTGCCAAGCATTCTTTTCATCACGAGACACTACTTGGTGCTAAACATAAATTTTGAAGGCTTTTGTCGTGTTGATGACATGTCTGTGTCTTGTTCAGTCTCATGAGTACAGCTGTCGAGCTTCAGTGTCAAAGAAAGATATTTCCTGGCAAAGGTCAGGAATGATCTCTCTTTGTGTCCAAGTGTTCAAAGAGGCTTTACAATAATATACAGACTTCTCGTAGCCTAAACTGGTTGTGAATGGATTGTGAGACACGTTTTTTAAGCAACTTCATTTTGCGTGCTGTGTGAACAGTGCAAGACATGCTGTGCATATCTGTCATCATCGCACCCTCTTGAGGGCAGAACTTTTGTGACAACTACACTGTTCGTTTGCAGATCTGTTCATTCCTTCTGAAGGGGTGTACAGAATTTTCTGTACGGCAAACTGTGTATAGTTGATTTTTTCTAGTGCTTAAGATTATACGACTGTAATCTTTAGGAGAGCTTATAGCTATGGCAACATAGTAGCCTCCTTAAAAGGCAGGGTTAACCTTTTTTTATTGTGAGAACAAAACAGCACGCACAAGTAACACTAGCTACCTCCTGAAATTTAAATTGGCTAAATACTATTTATTTAGTATGTTATCAAGCACATCGCTATGAATAGTGGATCTTCTTGTATTGGAATTTGTTTATTGGTATACGAAAGAGACATGTTTAGCTGATTTGATAAATTTGACCTTGTCATCATCTGAAATGTCAACCTTACCTAAAGCGCAATGCAATTTGGAAAAGAACATAAAAACTAGATAGGATGTACACTAGTCCTCATGCTAGGTCTTTGTGATGTATTGAGAAAAATAGCATCTGCTCAGGACTAGAGTTTGTAAATAAAGATTTCATTTCATTATAAACCAAAGATTGAACTGGACTGATGACATTTTCAGAACAAGATTGCTCAAACAAGAAAAAATCTTACTTGATGTCATGCTAACAGTGCCGGGGTATGGGCAAAAATTCAAGAAGGTGAGCTACCCTCCATTTTAGCTTGTCACTAGTTAAATGTGTGCTTGGCTTTGAAGTTTCACTTGGCCTAAGTGTTGCTCTTATTGCCCCTTTTAATTTCTGCATGTACAACAATAGCAAGTACCAAATAGAGAAATTTGTGGAACCTAATAGTGTCTTTCTAGTTATTAGGTGTCTTCCCCACTACACGTATGATAATTTCATTGATCGAAAGTACTGCTGTTCAGTGCTTCTTCTAATGGTCCGAGCTTTTAGAACAACGGAGATATAATCATGCTCGATACGAAAAGTAACACTGAAATCACCTTCGAAATGCCCAAGGCTAAATAGAGAAAGCAAGCACAGAAATGTTCGCAACTGAACGTTAGTGGAAAGGAATCTCTCGGATACTAATGTGACAGATTCCTGCCCGCACATTAGACTAATCGTTGGTAAGCGTGAACTTAGTAGTTCCCCCCTTTCACATCGCTCATGTCTGTACATACCAGACAAATATGAATGTGTCTTCAAATGTCTTTTCCCCTTAGTATGATCAAATGAATTTATAGGTACCTAGTATTTTATTGCCATAACATTATCTTTTTCCGCTATTGGTGTAAATACACTGGGAGATATGATAGTAAGTAATACTAATTGTAATGCCTGTTTGGCATATAATTAGCTTCATAGAACACCTTATACAGGCATTTATTTTTACTCTGAACATTTCAATAAAAAGTTTTTTTGGCCCATTCCATTGTTACTGGGATGGACATTATTTATTGATTGTAAAGGTGCTAATTATACAATGTTAGCTAAAACAATACAGATCCTGTGGTTATCATTGATAATACCAAAACCAATAGCAAGTTGACTCCATTACTATAATATGCAAGACAAAAGTGAGTTAAAAAAGAACATTGTATTGCTTAATAGATTACTTGCTTCGTTATGATTATCAGTTTGGTGGGATATGGCTCTAGCTTGAGGAGCAGTTAATCAGATTGTAAACAATGGCTATAGAAGCAGTGTTAAAAAACAAACTTTTTGGTGAGACGCTAAAGAAGCAAGTGCTGGGAAAGTTCGCATGGTCAAGATGCTTGGAATTCTGTAATATTTGTACAGTACAAAAGAAACTGAATTATTCTGGACAAGTGGCCTCACATGGCTGTATCATACTCTAGTTAAGAGTGTATCAGTGTTTATTAAGTTACAATTGGCCGTAAGAGAGTTATCTACTATCATTTCACTAATTAGAATACACAGACTAACTTTTTAGCTGACTTAAAATTGCAAAGTTAGGGCAAAGTCTTTGTGAAGTAATGCACCAAGTAGAAATTTGAAGAAATGCACTTCATTCAAGGTATACGTACCCAAAATGTGCTTGAAAAAATGCTGTGGTCCCTAACTTAGAAGGCACCCTCTCAGGAGACTATTATTTAGTGGAACAAATAGGGTATTTTGAAGCACATGAGATTTTCTCGAATGTTGTGCTTAGTGTCATGGTTTCTCATAACGCTCGGGGAGAGCTTTTCTGGCGCTGTTGTAGAAGCTACAGAACTTAAACGCATGCCTGCCAGCGAATTATAAAATACTAATATGAACCTAATTTTATTAAGTGTTCTCATTTCACTTGTTCAAGCAAATATTGCTTTATTTATCATGAAACTAGAACAGTTGTGGTAAGTGATTAGTAAATAATATTGCACATGCTACTACGATTTGTTTTCCCCCATGTCAGCACCACATTTTCCACACACCTGTTCTCCGCAGTGGACATGGCGCCCCAGTGTGCGTTGGTCTTTGTGGGCTGCAAAACACGCTGTTTAGGTCTCCAAGAAAAACATACCCAAATGTAACACTGAAATGCACAATGAACGATCAGAATGTGTCTTTCTTACTAACATTTTTATATATATGTTTTTCTAATTGTATTGAGGCAGCAAGCAAGTGAAACCACAACTGGGACTGATGTCAGATGCAAGATGCCATGCTACTAGTGGAGTAACATGAATGGGTGGAAGCCCCGCCTCTGGTAGCTTTGGCCCCACTACTAAGATAAGTTGTCCCGAGTATAAGTGGACTTTATTCCTCTGCTTTTGTTTAGAAATACATGTGTCCTAAAGTCAATGGTTCCGTGGATGTGTCGCTGCACAATTGTATTACATAACTAATTGAACTGTGAATCCCTTCTTACCCCATCCCTTGTGAGCTACTGTTGAGGTGTCGCACTGATGCAGACAGTTATGGGGCTCACATTTCTCTTCTTTTCTTTTTAAGAATCACATAAGAAGAAAGAATGGCGAACATGCGACAGACAAACATCCCGCGTATTTTGCCGCTGCCCTGTAGTGAATATCGGGACTTCGAAAGTTTTGGTCATATGGTATATTTCTCCGCTCGTCACCTTCTCACCTGCTCTCCAGAAGCGTGCCGCATTCCAGTAGCAGATTGAGTGGCCCTGCTTTCAGTGCTCTGCCCCCTACTCCTCACTGCACGACACCCCTACTCCTGTTCTCTCAATGGAATTCTTCATGTAACCCTACATCTATTGGCATCTCCTACGAAAATGTATAGTAACAAATGGTCACCTAGCTTGACCCACTGGAATTTAAGCCTAGCATTTCGCCCATTTCTTCTTGATCTTTTTTATCGTGATTAAAACTTCTGTACATCAACCCATGCCGGTATTCACCTCCGCTTCATCAATATTTTGCCTATATTGACCACAAATCGTGCTTCCATCCACTTTGAGTCCCAACACTGCCAGAAGATGGTTGTTGACTGCAGTTCTTGCAGGGTCAGTGATGGGATAGCTGTGTTCCATTTTCCTTTTCCATTTCCTGTACTGTCCTCTGATGTTTTGGAAGTGTTTGGTAGGAGTTGGGGGAAAACTGGCATTGGAAGAATGAAGGCCTTTGAGACAGAGACGTTTCGCGACTCTTCCGCTAGGGAAGGGTGCATGCGCTGCGGCATCGGGGAAAAGGCAGATCGCATCAAGCGACAAAACCTGCTACATAATGAAGTAACGGGCGTGGTTACAATCTGGGAAAAGTAATATGACGTAGTTGTTCTTGTATGTCAGTTTACTTGACTGACTGTATTAATTACAGAAGGAAAGATGGAAATTTAAGGCTCGTTTCTCTTTGTTAGTCACAATGTTGAAGGGGCCCTGCAACACTTTTGAGCTGCCGATCGGTACTGGAGGCTCTAAAGAACACGGGAGCCAAATATTATAGTGCAGCACTCTGTCTGCTGTTCACAATAAATTATCAGTCAGCTGAAAATTGCTTTCTCTTCTCTCACAAATCACGGAAGACACTCAAAAATCATTCATGGAAGACCTTCTATGATTTCAACATGGCGTGATCGGTTGTTACAGGGATCGCTGCGGGGGCCACGACTTGTCCACGCATGCGCACGCATTCGCACTGAAAATCCGGGTATTTGAATAAAAAAATAAAAAGTGCTCAAGGTCGCGAGGCCCGCATGATGTATTCTCTGTGCCCATGCCATTCCTTCCCCCCCTGCTTAGCTTCCAGCGCTTTCGTTGGGACAAGAAAAGAAAGAATGCGATTGCAACCAGGGTTACCAGATTGGGCTATTAATAGCGGAATCGAACTACTTTTTGTTCGAGTTGGCATCAAAATTTTCTCTTTTGCTATGTGGCTATTTTTGGGCTACATAGTTACCGACTAGGCAAGACTTACAATGGTGGAGAATTTTCTAACCAGGGACCCTAAACGGCTTAAGCACGTACGCATTCCTTTGTAATCTCAGCCTCCCCTATGGATATACAAAGAACACAAGGCCCCAAGAACATGCGCGTGCTTCCTGGGGGCCCGCCACCATGATACTCCAATGTGTTCAACGATCCTTGCGCTTGGAGACTTAGTCCAAGAAAGAGCTTGACGTGTCATCAGACTCATCACTTTGAAAATGTGTTTTGAGGGCGAGCGGGCACCGGCCCCCTCTCACCCCCCGGGTCCCTTTGATTATTCTGGGATTGAGCAAAGGGAGCCTTTAAATGTGGTCTTTAGACAAAAGGTAGGTGAACTGAGAAAAACTATTTTAACTCCAACCAATGTAAAG